AAATTAAGAAAATAAAATATATCCGATACTTCTCACATCCTTTCATTTTTTTTAATTCATACACAAAATTTGAAAAAGGTCAAGTACAATCAGCAAATACTCTCACAGTAGACCAAAGTCATATCAAAATTAAACATTATCTTGTTATGAAGCATCTATTGAAGTATATTTTTTTTACTATTATTTCAGTTTCCCCTCTGTCTTATAACAAAATGCTAGCAATGAGGGCATTACAAACATAACTTACTTTCATTTTTATACATTTTGTACACAAAAAGACTACAAATATCTGATTCACTACATCATTCCATGCAGACTTTCAGATCAGTAATTCTTATTTCCATCTCATTCCAATGAGGTTGTATATAATTTTTCATCCAGATTAATTTTAAGGTGGGAAAACTTGCATTATCTCTAAAACAATTTGATTGTTAAAGAACATGGACTAGTTCTTGTATAAATATTATACTGGAAAATTAAAATTTTGTATGAAATCTGTCAATCCAAAAGATGATCAATACCCTTAAGTTTTCAGTTTAAACTGCTTCCAAGTACAAATATTTTCACATTTGAATAAAGTTAGGGATGAATTGTTCTATGTAATTGAAATTGGAAAGGTGTCAATTATTTTGTTGCTGAATCTTTACTATATTATAATTGTAATTTCCAGAAATTTTACATACTAACTTGCATGTTTTATTGTATAAACTTTTAAATTAATGAAAAAAATATCAATTTCAACTCAGTTTGTACACCAATTAAAATCTTGTGTTTCAGAATATATATATTTTTAGTTTTCAAAATAGCATGTAAACAATATTTCAAAAACAATAAACACTGTCATTATATTACTTTTTAATTGATTTATTAATAACTTTCATACATTGAAACAAACTTTTTTATTGTTTCAAGTTGACAAATGACCTTCCTCTACCCTCTAACATTGATTCCTTTCCCAAAAACAAATTCTGGACGATTTAATTGTGAAAATTTCAAGAAATGTTAGATCAAATTAACTGTTTAGATAAGAATGTTTGACCGAGGTTATGGCCGACAACACGTGCTGCTACCAAATGTTTACACATGTGGTAAATTCACCACATGTGATTGGTCAATTAACTGATGATTGACAGGAGAGTCGAAAGGTGTATTAAACTTGCAGGCCTTTTTTCATGACCCACAATTTAAAATATAAGAAAACATCAAAATAAAAAGGGACATCCGGAAAATATCTTCAAAGCGAGTTAAAGGTTTTAAAAGTGTTTGTTTTTAACAAAAGAGGTATGTCATCTAAAACTTTTAAGAGCATACACAAAGCACAGAACTTAAAATTGCCAATGCTTGCTACCCTCAGCATAAAAAACCCTTGCAGAGCAGGTGTAAGGATCTTAATAATGATCAATATCAAGCCATTGTTCAAATAACCATGAACATATCTCAAATAAATTTAGTTCCAATAAAAACGGCTATTTTACAGGTTCATGTATTGCATTTCTTTAACACATATAATCATTAATTGATTAAATTTCTTCACATTTGCATTTGAACTTTAGCCTAAAAACTAACTCTAATTTAAAAACAAAAACCAGCATCTTAGAATGGAACATCAAGTGGGTGACTTACATGTAACATGATGTCTTTCGGGAGAGAGGAGAGAAAAAAATATTCCTTTAACAAGAATATTTCACCCCACATTGAACAGTATTTACTTTAAGTAAACAGTCACTTTCAGTTTCTAATTCTTATATAACAAAAATGATATAAAACAATAAATCTTTTTTTTAAAACAATTATCTTATATCTAATGCCAAGCAAGCATTTGGGTTTACGATTGCATTTCTTTTTTTAAAGAAAGCAACTAGTTTCTGAATTTACAGTATATGCAGCTGGTCAATCCTGTTATTCTCTTATCTTAGACTGTCTGGACAGAGGCGGAGATTTGTCTATACAGTATTTCATTACTACATTACAGATGTTGGTCAAATCTGTGATGTCAAACTCCTGCCAAATGCCAAGTTAGTGTTGGAAAGTGCACACATAATGCAAAATTTACAGTCTAAGAGTATCAAAGACACAAACTGTGTGGTTCTATTGATAAAATAGTGGTGTCAGAACACTCCTGGGATGTTCCCAGTGGAATTTTTATATTTATGTTGCATTTATAGGGGTTCTAAGGGGGAAATTCAGTTTTTAGGTGATTTCTCAGAACAATTTTTCATGAGAATTGTTAGCAAAAAATGAAAATAGAAACTTTATGGGTACCCCCTTTGGTTTGGCTTTGATATATGTGATTAAATGGAGTATTTACTACAAAACTTGTGTCCCAGTTTTTGGATAATTTATTTCTTAATGAATTTATAGGTCTCCAAAGATGAAAGGTGAAATGAGGTATGGCACCCAGCAGTTAAATCAATATATCTTCTTACTGGAGGCATATATCAAAAATCTGAGACACAGTTTTGTAGCTTGTGTAAGGTTGATTAAAGGGATGAAAACAAATTTTTACTACCATTTGACCTGAATGTGCCATTTTCATCCAAGTTGGAAGACCACTTTTTTGGCAATTAATGAGCTATATTTTTAAATTAATCATACCAAAAATAAATTTATCTATAGATTAAGAAAGAGTAATATTTCAGCTTTAAAATGAATTAAAGATTTAAAAAATCCATTGAGTAGTTTTGGAGAAATTAATCTTTAAAGACTGTTAGTTGGAGTCAGAAAATTCTGACTGTAGTGCTACTTTAAGTACTTAGACCACATTCATTCTGTGTCAGAAACTATATCAAATATTTAATCAGAATCCAAATTCAGAGATGTATTGCACAATTAATAGAAATTTTAAGTTGAGTCATAGTTAAAAATAGATATAATGTAGCATCATATTCTAATTTTAGAAGTTATGTATAAATATAGTTTGAAATTAACTGTTCTTTATTAGATATTTTGAAAAGAGGTAAGTTTTATAGATTGTTTAAAGACTTTGTATTGATTTTTTGGAATTTGTTTTTTCATTTTTTATTGTCAATTTTTTGTAAGAACTTTGTGGTAGGTTGGTTTAATTGTTATTCTGTATAAATTAATTTTCAAAATGCAATATATATATATATATATATATATATATATTAATGAAGCAAACCCCTTTAAAAACTTAGCTAATATTGTCCATTAATAAATAAATAAATTAAATTCTTGGTGTACTTGGATATTATGGTCAATAAATAAATAAATTACTTAAATTCTTGGTGTACTTGGATATGCTGAATCTAACCATGTATTTAGATTTTGGATATTGGACCATAATAGGTAAAGTATAGCTGTATCAAGCTTGAATGTAGTGTCCATACTTGCCTCAAATGTTCCAGGGTTCGACCTCTGCGGTCGTATCCAGCTGCACCCCACAAGCATTTTATTTGCAATTGTACTACAATAATATTTTGTGAACGCAAATCTTATGAGAACATTGGACAGAAAGCTCTAATACTTGGTAGGATGTTTGCCATCTGTTATTGTTGACCATCATTTTGATTTGACCATATTTAGCTCACCTGTCGTCATAGACTTTCTCAAAGATTTTCTCCTCGGAAACTACTTAAAACCAATTTCAGCCAAACTTTGGGTGAATGATCCTTAGGGTATAAGGTTTGTGTTTTATCCCCGTCAGTCAAAAAACATGGCCACCATGTCGAAAAATAGAATATACATGACATAAAGGTATAATGCATTAATTGTTGTGTATCTCGAAACATTATTATTGATAGAGAAAATCTGTCAGGCAAACAATGCTCAGAATCTCAAAATCCACCTACTTCCTGTTTGCACCGAAACTATCAGATGACTCTTTAAGGAGTAATTGGCCTTAAATGACAATTTTTGGCTAATTTTCATGTTTTGCCTATTAACTCAAAAACTATAATAGATAGGTAGAAACTAGTACCAGCAAAAATGATCAGCAATACAAGATCAACAAAAATGCCAATATTACCAAACTATTGGATGACCTTTTAAAAGAGAGACAAAAGATTCCAAAGGGATATCCAAACTCATAAGTTGAAAACAAACTGACAATGCCATGTCAAAAAAAGAAAAATGACGAAAAGACAAACAACAGTAAACAAAACACAACATAGAAAACTAAAAACTGAGCATCACAAACCCTGCCAAAAACCTGGGGTGATCTCAGGTGCTCTGGAAGGGCAAGCAAATCCTGCTCCACATGACATAATGTGGCACCCGTCATGTTGCTCTTTTAGTACAAATCTGGTGATACATTTTGTAAGTCTGATTTGATTTAAGTCTAATAAATCTTAAAGACTTATTGCCCATAAATGATGATTTTTGACTTATTTTAGCATTTTTGCAAATTATCTTAAAAACTTTAATAGATAGTTATAGAAACTGAAAACAGCAAAGATAAACAGAAATACAAGATCTGCAAAAATCAAACAATTTGATGACCCATTACGGAGTAATAGCCTTAAATCACGATTTTGACTAATTTACTTGTCTTTCATATACTTTAAAGACAATGAAAGATCTTTTCTTCTGAAATTACTGAACCAATGTCAGCCAAACTCAGGTTGATTGGTCCTTAGGATATGTAGTATATAATTTGTGATTTTATTTCCAGCCAGTCAACAAACAAGGCCTTTGCTAAAAATAGAACATACGGGAAAATTACTTGAAAGCTTTGTCATCATGTGTTGTTTACCATATATATTATACCACCATTTTAATGGGAGTTGTGGAATTTTTACTCTATTTTGACTATAATACTGCAATGACACATTATGACACATGATTTAATTCCTCATTTATGCTGTGGCGGGTAACCTTTTACCATGGGGTAGTATTCTTGTCATTTTATGCATTTTGGATATTTTCTTGGAAACTATAATAAAATGATCAGCTAGATAAAATCTACTCATAAGCAAACATAGCTGATCCCAATAAAGATGAAAATAAGAATCAACATTATAAAACAGTTTTATTTTTGCCAGATTGGTAATTCATGCTGTTAGGAGTGTCCTGTCCTGATTGCAGTTCGAATTTCCAACCATTCATCCTAGTCATGTTAGTTTACCCATTTTCCAGAACTTACCTAATTGATGTATATGATCTGTAGATGTTAGAGCTCTGAACATGCTGAATAGATGTTAAGGCTGGTTTCTGTAGGCCTGTGTTTTAAGAAATTTTCAAAGTTCAATAATATCAAAAAAAGCAAAAACTACTGATAAAAGATACATGTATGAGTCATTTTGTAAATATACCTCATTCACTACAATTATATTTAGTGTTTTTTTGCATTTAACAGTAAATGTGGATTTTATGGCAAATAAAGCCACGAATTTTACATAAATGGACAGACTTTATTACAAGATTTTCGTTATAACATTTTTAACTTACTTACTTGTCCATGTTGTGCTAGCATTTATTGTTTACAAAAAGCCCTAAACAACTTTTACAATCCAAAATACCTCTTGCTGAGTCACTAAAAGTGAGCGCGCCCTAGAAGGTGTACTTGAGTAGGTTCATATTAGTATTAGTCGTATATTGGTATCAAGTCGTCGTCTTCCGAAGACACATTGGTTTCCGGACAATAACTTTTGTTTAAGTGTATGGATTTCTATGGAATTTTACCATAAGGTTTATGACCACAAAAGGAAGGTTGGGATTGATTTTGGGGGTTATGGTCCTAACAGTTCAGGAATTAGGGGCCAAAATGGGGCCCAAATAAGCATTTTTCTAGTTTCCAGACAATAACTTGTGAAATGGTGTATGGATCTCTCTGAAATTACACCACAAGTTACCATATCACACATCTTTGCTAGCCAAGGGTTACGATCCACTTCCCTCCTCTCCACCCTTGGCAGATTGAGATAGAATTTCGGAGACACAAGGTAATGATTTTCATTGGTTGCAGTCGAAACTCGCTGCATCCAATCAAAAAGCGCCAATAACATGGTCACCTGTAAATGTAGAAAGTGTATGTAAACAATTGCCACGTGCTTATTGTGCAACAAGTCTTTACATCCCTAAACATACGACTATATTTAATGACAATTTGAATGTTTTTAATCAACTAATAGAAGTTCCTGTGTATGTTTCTTGCACAAATGCATGAATGTCAGCGTATATTTTTCCTGCTTTACCAAGTGTGTAGAATCTAGACGCTACCATGTTTTTACCTCCAAATTGAAGAGTTCAAGTGCTACCATTGGTCAAGAATAATGTATTCGGAATGGGCATGACTTTAATCTACCGATAGATGGCGCAACATTGTTATTACAAATGTTGGCTTAATCTGCCAAGGGTGGAGAGGAGGGAAGTGGATCGCAACCCTTAGCTAGCGAAGATGCATATCACAAAGGGATGGTAAGAATTTGCTTTTGGGGTTTATGGCTCAAACTGTTTAGGATTTAGGGGCAAAAAAGGGGGAAAACAAGGGTTTCCAGTTTAATGGACAATTACTTAAGTACAAAACATAATTTTAAAGCAGTGTAAGGGAGGTAATTCAAACGCATATTGTCAAATTACCTCCCTTACACTGCTTATAAATTATTTATAAAGAAATGTATTGTCTTTAGGTGATTAGCTGTCAATTTATTTTTAGAAATTATCATTTTAAAAATGTTTAATAAAGGTAGTTTAATTATAGCCATAATTATGTATGTGAAGGAATTTTTATTTTTAGATATTACTATTTAATGTTGCTGATGGAGGCTTTTTAATTTTAAAAAAGCATTTTTCTAAGTTTCAAGACAGTAACTTGTGATTAAGTGTATGGATCTCTCTAAAATTGTACTACAAGGTTCCATACTTAAAAGGGTTCATATTTTTTTTCCAAAATTTTCAAAATTTCAAATTTTTGAAAAGTTTCAAGAAGAAATCTTCAATTGCACAGTATTGCGCATTAAATTTGTAAGATCTATTACCACATTTATTTTGTGTCAGAAACCTATATTATGTCAAAAATTTGATCACAATCCAAATTCAGATAGTATCAAGCTTGAATATTGTGTCCAAATTTGACCCAACTGTTCAGGGTTTCGACCACTGCGGTCGTATTAGGCTGCGCTCAGCGAAGCATTTTATTATTAATATCTTTATCTAAAAACTTGTTGCAGGTAAATCATTGCTAGCACAGCATGCAGTTATCCTCTTTATATTAAGCACATAATTGTTTTTGATAGAAGAGTACAAGGGAAAAGGCTGTGGACTTTCTATAATTTCCATATATGTTTAGCATTGAAACAACAAAAGGATACATAATCCTTAAATACCACTGATGTTTTCAGTCCTTTCAAAAATTTCAACCACCATTTTATTTTAATAGACGTTAAAATTTGAAAATAAATATACATATATATATATAAATAGTTTATATTTAATTGTGTTCCATTCTATCAGTTGGCTGAAGGAACAACAGAACCACAGAGAATTAAGAAAGATACATTTTTATGCCCCCGCCGTAGCGGTGGGGGCATTAAGTTTTACCCTTGTCCGTCTGTACGTACGTACGTCCCAAAATTGGTTTCCGTTCTCTAACTTAAGTTTGCCTCAACCAAATGTTATGAAACTTTTACACAATGCTTATTACCACAAAACACAGATCAAGTTTGAATTTTGGTGGCGTCACTTTAACTGTTCTAGAGTTATGCCCCTTTATAAATGGAAAAATTGCAAAATTTTTAGTTTCCGTTCTCTAACTTAAGTTTGCCTCAACCAAATGTTATGAAACTTATACTAAATGCTTATTACCACAAAACACAGATCAAGTTTGAATTTTGGTGGCGTCACTTTAACTGTTCTAGAGTTATGCCCCTTTATAAATGGAAAAATTGCAAAATTTTTAGTTTCCGTTCTCTAACTTAAGTTTGCCTCAACCAAATGTTATGAAACTTATACTAAATGCTTATTACCACAAAACACAGATCAAGTTTGAATTTTGGTGGCGTCACTTAAACTGTTCTAGAGTTATGCCCCTTTATAAATGGAAAAATTGCAAAATTTTTATTTTCTTCTAAATATCAAGTAATTATACGACCGCAAAAAAATTTTGTGGTCGTATATTGGTATGACGTTGGTGTCGTTGTTGTCGTCTGAAGACACATTAGTTTTCGCACTCTAACTTTAGTTTAAGTGAATGGATCTCAATGAAATTTTACCATAAGGTACAATACCACAAAAGGAAGGTGGGGATTGATTTTGGGGGTTATGGTACCAACAGTTAAGGAATTAGGGGCCAAAAATAAGCATTTTTGTAACTTCCAGACATAACTTGTGTGTAAGTGTATGGATCTCTCTGACATTGTACCACAAGGTTCCATATCACAAAGGGAATGCTGGGATTGATTTTGGGGGTAATTGCCTCCAAATTTTAGGAATTAGGGGCAAAAAAGGGGCAAAAAACAAGCATTTTTCTAGTTTCATGACAATAACTTGTGTGTAGGTCTATGGATCTCTCTGACATTGTATCACAAGGTTCCATATCACAAAGGGAAGGCTGGGATTGATTTTGGAGGTAATTGCCTCCAAATTTTAGGAATTAGGGGCAAAAAACAAGCATTTTTCTTGTTTCATGACAATAACTTGTGTGTAAGTGTATGGATCTTTATGAAATTGTACTACAAGGTTCCATATCACAAAGGGAAAGCTGGAATTGAGTTTGGGGGTAATTGCCCAAAAAGCTTAGGAATAAGGGGCCAACAAGGGGCCAAAAATAAGCATTTTTCTAGTTTCCAGACAATAACTTGTGTTCAAGTGTATGGATCTCTCTGAAATTATACTGCAAGGTACCATATCACAAAGGGAAGGCTTGGATTGATTTTGGGGGTAATTCCCTCAAAGTTTTAGTAATTAGGGGCCATAAAACTATTAAAAGGGCAAAAAAACAAGCATTTTTCTAGTTTCAGGACAATAACTTGTGTGTAAGTGTATGGATCTTTATGAAATTGTACTGCATGGTTCCATATCACAAAGGGAAAGCTGGGGTTGAGTTTGGGGGTAATTGCCCTAAACGTTTAGGAATTTGGGGCCAAAAAGGGGCCAAAAAACAAGCATTTTTCTAGTTTCCAGACAATAACTTGTGTTCAAGTGTATGGATCTCTCTGAAATTGTACTGCAAGGAACCATACCACAAAGGGAAGGCTGGGATTGAGTTTGAGGGTGATGAATCATAAGGGGGTTCAAAAAATTTGGGGGGGGGGGGATTTTTTTTTTCCTTTTTTTCTTTAAAATTTTCCATTTTAAATTGGTTATTTCTGATTTATATATAAAAACAAATAATAATGATATGGTTTGAATAGGTAAATTAAAAAATTTTAAGTTCTTAGACCACTTTCATTCTGTGTCAGAAACCTATGCTGTGTCAAATATTTAATTACAATCCAAATTCAGTGCTGTATCAAGCTTGAATGTTGTGTCCATACTTGCCTAAACTGTTCAGGGTTCGACCTCTGCGGTCGTATCAAGCTGCGCCCCAGCGGAGCATTTTTATTTTTAAAATTGGAGTTATCTTCCTTTGTCCATGATTATAGTTGAATCAACTACAATCTATGCTTTATACAATGCAATGTTTAATTTTGACTTCCACGGATAAAACACAGATCAAGTTGAATTTGGGTAGTGTCTATGCCCCTTTATAAATTGAAAGATTGCAAAATTTTTAGTTTCCATTCTGTAACTTAAGTTTGCCCCAACCAAACATTATGAAACCTATACACAATATTCATTACCACAAAACTAAGATCAAGTACAAATTTTTTGTTTCCGTTTTCTACCTTTAGTTTGCCTCAACCAAATTTAATGAAACTTATACACAATGCTTATTACTACATAATACAGATTAAGTACGAAATTGGGAGGCGACACTTTTGCCATTCTTGAGTTATGTCCCTTTATAAACATAAAAATTGCTGAATTTTTTAGTTTGTCTCAACCAAATGTTATAAAATTTATACACAACCGTTCTAGAGTTATGGGTGTTGACAAATAGAAAAATTGCTGAATTTTTATATGCCCGTTTACTGATTTTTATAAATTTTAGATTTTACGTTTCCGAGTTACAGGGTTTTATTCATAAAAAAAGGGGGGATTTTCCAGTTTTCGGACAAAAACTCAAAAATGCTTTCAGCAATTCTTATGAAACTTTGGTGAATTGTTTGTATGTATTGATGTAAGCTCCTTTTAGAATTTTATAAATTTTACATTTTACATTTCTGAGTTATGGGGTTTTATTCATTAAAAAAAGGGGTGATTTTCCAGTTTTCGGACAATAACTCAAAAATGCTGTCACCAATTCTCAGGAAACTTTGGTGAATTGTTTATATCTATTGATGTAAGCTCCCTTTTTATTTTCATAAATTTCTAATATGACATTGAGAATTAATTGAACTTTATTTGTTTATAGTCTGACAACAGATAACCTAAGTATTGCACAACAGCAAGAAATCTTTAATTGAATATAAATTCAATTCATATAACCAATTTCAAGTTCTTTGACTACATTTATTCAGAAACCTATAATATGTCAAATGTTTAATTACAATCCAAATTCAGACCTGAATCAAGGTTGAATATTGTGTCCATTTTTGCCCCAACTGTTCAGGGTTGGACCTCTGCGGGCCTATCTAGCTGCGTTCAGCGAAGCAGTTTATTAGTTTCTGTTCTCTACTTAAGTTAGCCTCAACCAAATGTTATGAGACTTACACACAATGCTTATTACCACAAAACTCAGATCAAGTTCAAATTTGGGTAGCGTCACTTTTACTGTTCTTTTATTCATAAATATAAACTGAATTTAAACAACTAATTTTTTTCTCTCGAAATAACGGACATATTTTAATATCCTAACGTCTACAAGGAATGTATTACACTTTTTTTTATCTTTACTTCCCTTGTTGCATAGTGTGGTTGTAACATGGCGTTACCAATGACAACGTTTATATTGTTATGTTGTGCTATCAGTGTTTACCCTTATCATGCTTATTATCTTCTGTGAGGAGTGAAATCGGAAAGAATAATGTGAACGATTTTGAATACAATGATATATATATATGCATTTTCTTCTTTTGTATTTTCTTTTATATTTTTACTTGCATGGTTTTTATTGAAATTTTTACTTTCAATATATATATATCATGTACATAATATTGCAGAGTCAACATGAATCCACAGGGAGGTTTTCCACAAATGGATACAGAAGCCACAGTCAAGCAGGTAATAAATCTGTCTGTCTGTCTGTCTGTCTGTCCACCTCAGTTTTTGTCAACACAAAAACTTTAAAAGTATAGGTAGGAAACCAATAAAATTTTGCACATTTGTTGTGCATATTATGTAGATGTGAATAATATATTTTTGTGAAATTCTGCACATTAATTTTGGAAAAAATTTTGTTTTTGTCTAGCCTGCATGGGAGACAGAGGAATTACAATCCCGCGGCAGGATGGACAGCGTTAACTATTTGTTTAAAGCTTGATATTTCAGAAGGTAGAAAAACTGGATACCTCATACCTTGTGTGCAGATACCTTATGTTACGAAGATTCAGTCTGTCAAATGTCCTTGACCTCATTTTCAGGGTTCAGTGACTGCTTGAAAAAATGTTTGTTTTTTGGTTAAGTGAAATACTGACTATAATGAGTAAAAAAATAACTATATTTGGTATATTGGTTCCTTGTAACGTCTACATGTCTGCCATGTAGGGTTCACCTGACCTCAACCCAGACATGGGGTCAATTACTTTTGAATGTTCAATTACAATTACAAAATTTTCAAAAAAAATAACACATTACATTTGTCTTTTTATGCCCCCGCCGAAGCGGAGGGTCATTAAGTTTTACCCTTGTCCGTCTGTCCGTTCGTCCCAAAATTGGTTTCTGTTCTCTAACTTTAGTTTGCCTCAACCAAATGTTATGAAACTTATACACAATGCTTATTACCACAATACACAGATCAAGTTTGAATTTTGGTGGCGTCACTTTTACTGTTCTAGAGTTATGCCCCTTTACAAATGGAAAAATTGCAAACATTTTTATGCCCCTGCTGAATTTTTCATTTCCGTTCTCTAACTTTAGTTAGCCTCAACCAAATGTTATGAAACTTATACATAATGCTAATTACCACAAAATACAAATCTATTCTGAATTTTGGTAGTGTCACTTTTACTGTTCTAGAGTTATGCCTGTTTACAAATGGAAAACTTGCTGAATTATTCGTTTCTGTTCTCTTAATTAAGTTAGTCTCAACCAAATGTTGTGAGACTTATACACAATACTTATTATCACAAAACTCAGATCAAGTACAAATTTGGGTAGCGTCACGTTTACTGTTCTTCAGTTTTGTCCCTTTATAACTTTATATGATATGCAAGCGGGGGCATCATCTGTGTCCCATGGACACATTCCCCATTTATTACAAGTATCAAATAAACACAAATTACACATATAACATTAGAGCAATGAATATTAAGCATGTCTTAAAAAGCAAAAAAGGCATAATATAAGCTAACTGCTATAAGTAGAATATGAAAACTACTACCCCATATGAGCTGTTATAACTGCTTTAGTAAATAAAATCACATAAAAACATTACTGTTTTATATACAACAATACAAGCAATATATATATCAAAAATAATATAAGCTAATAAGAATATTGAAGTTTCCCCGATATAAAGCATAGCTAATTCAGCTCAGAACTGAACAGGCATTAGATTTAAAAAGCACAATTAAAAGCTTAAGAAGAAAGCAAAGCAAGCTACCAGCCAATAATACTATTGGTGTGGGTGGGAGGGTTATAAAAATTGCTTAGAATATTGCCATGAAAAAATAAGGCCTGGATGCAGCCATGCTACATTTAACAATTAAAAAACAACCCAAAGCTGGAATGGACCCGACTCCAGTGTGTGAAACCTTTTTTTTTCCTTACTTGCCAAATTGGCGAGCAGCTTTTCATTTCAACTCACCAAATTGAAATTCCACTGGCCAGCTTGGCGAGTGATTTACTTTTGGGACTCACCGTCTTTTTCATACACAATTATTAAAACATATTATTCCATTCCACTTATTAAATGTGTGAACTTAAGTACATTATTTTACTCTATAACTGGTAACTTGACTATTTAAATTACTATTTACATGTATAGTAGTCTCAGTTATATAACTTATAAGGGAGCAGTCAACTTATCTTGTGATTACCTTAGAAGAGGGGTTTCAAATACATTTTTGCCACAACTGACAAGTCAAAAGTTATTTTTTTGTCATAACCAGACTTCATTATTCCAATGATTATGGATAAATCGTAGTACAAGTGCTGGAGTTGTTAAGCAGCCTCTTCTACCATAATTATTACATTTTTTATTTAAAAAAAACATGAATAATTACACTTCTGCACCAAAGGCCTTTAAATGATGTTTTTTTTTATCTAGTTCCTTTCGTTTGTTTTAAAAATTATTTAGCCTTAAAAACAATTCTATTTTGACATTATTATTTCATAATTTGCCTCCAGATTGAGTTTGTTGAACATTCAGAAAAGTATAAAAAAAATGGCTTTCAAATCTGGTCAACAAATACAATGCCCATCCTGTATTTTGCTTAAAATAAACATATAACATGGACGATTGGAAGGTAAAATAAATATTGAATGTTTTATTTGTTACCCACAGATACCCCACTGTACATGTATGCATAATAAATGTCAAGGTCGTCATCATAATGTTTTAGTTTGCCAATCGTGATAAATAAACTGTTTAGGAGCTAGGAATATTATTTCTAGTAACACAGCACATTGCAATTAGTTTAACAGTCTAAAAATTCATGAACCTTTGACAATATAAGGCCTGACAACTGTCAAAATACAAATGGCCAGAAAATTTTTTTTCTTGCCAGTTGAAGTATTTTATATCACAGTGCTCGCCATATTCATTTCTTACTTGCCTTTGGCGAAATGGCGAGCGGAGGTTTCACCCACTAAGTCCGACTCGATCTCCGTAAACGAGAATTATCAAAAATTCTACTTTACTATGAACTTCACCGGACGCAATTACGACTGGACACAATTACGAACGATTTCAAATGTTTGCAATCCAAAATCATTTTTATGCATGATAAGTAATAAATGTTTCTATAAACTATAACCGCACTAAAATGCTCGTGTTATCATGAAAAATAATGCGTGCGCACTTGGTGAATGTTGCAGACGACGAGAAAATCATTTTGTAAACATCAAAAGAAAAACACTACTTCCTGGAAATTACATTAAAAAGAACATAAAGGTAAGTGTATTTTGCCTTCTTTTGTCAAAAATATCTCCTGATTCTGTTCATATGCGTGATGCCCTGTAGTTTGCCAAAATTAGCCCAAAATTAACGTTTTCCCGACTCTGGTGATCCTAAGCATTGTCAAAAGAAAATACAGTAACTTTATAGAAAAGTCCCAAGAACTCCAAAAGTAATTTACGCACTTTGCGGGGATGAATAAAGGAAAGATTTGAATGTGTAACTTCAAATAAGCTGTACCAACAAACGAATAACAAGAAAGACATAATTTTGCAATTTTGATTACACAGAAATCAGAAAAGATATGTGGTAAATGTCAATGAGACGATCATCCTATCTGAGTGTCTTGATATACAATTAAGAAACATTAAGTACCAGTCTAACTAACATGAAAACAACATTTGAGTCTTAAAAAGGTATGAAATGGAAAACTAATTTTCCCTTCTTTTTGTAGATGTCAAAGAAAAAAAGACCAAAACATGACCAAATAAATTTGCTAGCTGCAGTTAGAGCTGTGAATAGAGGAAAAGGTTTATCCGCCACAGCAAGACTCTATGGTATCCCAAAAACAACATTGTATGATCACAGTAAAGGCCGCCTAAGAGGATGTGCAACAGGACCCGGAAGGAAACTGTCCCTTACAATGGAAGAAGAACAATCCCTTATTAATTACATCAAGTAGATGGCAGATAGAGGGATACCACTCACTAACAGAACGCTAAAGAAATTTGCCACTGCAATTTTGAGGAGAAAAGAAAATGTAACGTAAATTGACAAGAACAAAGGACCCAGTGATAAGTGGTGCCAGAGATTCAGAAAGAGACATCTAGAGAGTAAACTTTGAAAACCAGATAAAGCATCCAATCCAAAAATGGAAGTGACAAGAGAAGACATTGAGGAGTATTTTGACTTGTTAGAAAGGACAATAGCAAGACTGGGACTTGAGGACAAACCTGAATGCATTTTTGGAAAATGACGCAGTCAATTTTCTTTTACTGTTGACCAGACTTCCAAGCCGCTTTCCGAACTCGGTTCCGTATTTTACATACTTATGTACTATACAGAATTTCATTCTTAACCTGTCCATATGTTTACTGATATTAAATGGTATTTTGAGCTATTCCTTTGGTATATTTTTTCATATTTATACGAGCTTTCGCTTTTATTTGCATGTCTTTACAATCCGTAAAAAAATCAGAATATAAATAGATCCGTTTTGTTATGGTTTTGGACTTTTTACACACCAATGATAACCAATCGCTAGACAAAATAGTTCTTGAAAGAAGTCAACCTTTCTTGTCAGCTGAACTTTTAAATCATAAAAAAAAAATAATACTCTGAATCATCTTGATATTAATACGAAAGACAATGCTCTTTAATAAGATTTAAGAAGTTTTTAAGAATAAAAAATTAGTAATACTGTTATATCCACGCCTTGCATATGTATTTTGTTTACAAAGTTATAGCTGCAGACATAGGTCAAATATCGCAGGGACCAGTTCGGCTTTTGCAGAAGTTTTTCTGTCGAAAAGACTTTTTTTTCTTTCTGGATGTTTTCACTTTAAAAAGAATTAAAAGATGCAGAAACGTTAAGAAAGGAGTAGACAGTGCTCAATAAATCATACCAAAAGTATTTAAGGAAAGTTTTACCCTTTCTCTGGCAACATGGACAACGTGGTCTCGTCCATTTTTTGAAACATCTACGATTATTTCATTACTTTTTTGGAGTTTACAACTAAACTGTTAAACCTGTATTGTTTTGAGAAAAGCAATCCCGTTGTCCATTACAAGCCCGTGTTTTACGATTACTTGTCCTAGCATCGCTATTTTCAAAATCGAATATTGGATAACTAAACAAAAAATTCTTGTAAATAAATATAAAGTATCGAGATTTGCCATCCATTTTTCAATAACTATTAATTAAACATTATTTTAGAATCTATGT